TCGAAGCGATGCACGGCGATGATCTACAGACAGGTGGCGCGCGTGGTGGCTCGCCAACATGTCGCGCCGGCGCAGAAGCTCCTCCGCCGCCGCCCTCGGTTGCGCGAGTTGCTGGACGCGGACGGGGCGAGGCGCGTTGCGGCGCCGAAGGACAATTCGGAGTTCCACGGGCGTTTCGCGAAGGCGCACGGGAGCGAGACCAGGGCCAGGGACGATATGGAGCTTGAAGCTGGGGGCCGGCACCTCCGCGCCTCTGATCGCCTTCGGCTCCGCGGACAAGGTCGCGCCCGTCAAAGGCGCGCCGCCCTGCTGTCGGTTCTTCCGAGGTCTCCGGCGGCGGAGCTCCGATATGGCAGGCTCGTCGCGTCGACGACGGAGATCCGCGATGCGCTGGCGAACCATTGGAGTCAGGCATTATGCCCCGCGGTGGTTGCTGAGCGGAATGCTACGGCGGCGTTTAACACTGACGGGGCGACACCAGGCGGCTCGGCGCAAGCAAGCCCTAGTCCCTCGGCAGGTGGCTGTCGGGGCCCAGCGCGCTCCGGACAAGGCCTTCCCGGCGCGCGCCGGGAGCGGGCGCGACAAGCCCCAGTCCTCGACGCAAACAAGCCCCAGTCCCTCAGCAGGGAGCAGTGCCCCCGCGAGCGCGACGCCAAGACGTTCATTGCGAAGTGCGGCGCGAAGGACGTGGACCAGCGCTCGCTGGCCCCGCCCCCTCGCTCTGGGACATCGAGGAGGTGCTCCGCCTAGCGCGCCAGGCGTGGACGGGCTTCCTGCCCCAGCGTGGCTGAAGCGCTCGGCGGGCTGCAACGCGCTGCTGGAGGCGCAGAGGTGGCCGGCGCTTGGCCGTCCCATGCACGGGGGATTCGACGTGGGCATCTCCATTTTCCTTATGAGAAGGTGCTGGATGGCGACGGCCTGGAGGCAATCAGGAAGCCGAATTAGACGCGGCCGCTCGTGCTCTGCTCCGCGGGCCCGAAGGCCATCACCTCGGCGGTCAACTTCAAGCTGACGGGCATGATCGATAGGGGAGCGTCGCAGGCCCAGCGCGGCTTTGAGAACGTGGCGGAGATCAACGCCGCGTCCCGGGTGGCGCCCACGCGCGCTCTGGAGCAAGCCCGTGACTTGGGGGGCGCTCGCCCTCCTGAGCGTCGACTTCGCGCGCGCGTTCCCGTCGCTCCTCTGCGACTGGATGTGGCGGGCGCTGGAGGCTTGGCAGCTGCCGCCTGGCCCGGGCCCCCCGCTGCGAGAGACCCGCGCCGACGTGGAGGTGGGGGGCGGGGCCATCATCTCCAGCGGGAGGGGTCTCCGCGCGCTCGCGCGGCTCTTCCGCCTTGCGGAGCGCCTCGCTGGTCTCTTGCCCCAGACCAAGAAGTGCGCGGCCGCCCCTCTCTGAGGCCCCTTCTCGGCGGAGGTGGTGGAGCTCGTAGGAGAGTGACTGGAGGAAGAATGCGGCTGGGGTTCCTTCGACGTGGCGCCGTGCGTGGAGCTGGTCGGCTGCTTCATTGTTCCTGGCGCCTCGCTGAAGATCCAATGGGCCGCGCGCTCGCTCGCCTCCGCAAAGGGGGTGCTCGCGCAGGCGGCGTCGCCGCTGGACGCGACGGCCGTCTTCCACGAGCATGATCGTCGCTGCCTGCTGGTGATCTCCTGCGAGGCGCAGCGTTGGCCGACGCCGCCGAACCTGCGCATGAGCGCTTCATGCTGCGCCGCCTGGCGAAATGCTCGGGGGGGCCTCTTCAGGAATAACATGTTCTACGACCTGGAGGTGCTGGGCGGGCCCCGTTGCGCGCCGACGGGGGGCCGCCTGGCCGCGCCCCTCGCGCGCGCGGGCGTGGCGACGCCGAAGACGGGGCAGGTGGCGAGGTGGTCCGCCGTGGATTCCCGCTCGCGCGCAGCCTGGGAGGCCAGCTCTGGCCCGACTGTCGGGGGGCGCCCGCCCCTGCCGTCGCGCCCGAGCGCGCGGCGGCTGCTGGGCGCGGGCTGCTGGAAGGGGGCGGCGAACCCCCTTCCCGTTTTCCCCCCCTCGGGGCGGAGCGCATCGGTGCGGTGGGGTGGGATGGGGGGGGGGGGGGGGGGCGCATCCAGCGCGAATTCTCAGGCAGTCTGCAGGCCCTCGGGGACGGGGGCCCTCGGTCCAGGAGCGGCTCCCCAAGTGGTCTGGCGCTTCTCCCTGAAGGCCGCTGCCGTGGCCTGGGATGAGGTTGAGTAGGTCCTGATACGCGCCCCCCCTAGCTGGCGGCGCGCCTGCATCAAGACCTGGTTCGGAAGTTGGGTCGCAGACGCCCGACTCCAGAACCAGGACCGACGATGCTGCTTGGACTGCGGCCCGCATGACAGCCTGAAGCATGATGGCAGATGGGCGCACTTCAGAGAGCTGCTGCGCGTGGCTCTAGGCCGCCCGTTGCCCGATGCCCCTTGTCGTTGCCCCTTCCCTAACCCATCCATTGCTGGACTCGGCTCGAGGAGCGGCGTAGATGTTCCACTTGCGCCGCAATCTTCACCTGGAGGGGCGCGTTAAGAGCAGCGTGTCTTCTGCCCCATCGGTCGCTCGCTCGATCGCCAAGGCTGCTCGGCATTATGTTGGCTTCCCCTCTGGAGGCGATGCCGGCTTTCAAGCTCGCCGTGCGGCTAGACGGGGTGCCCGAGCTGCAAAGATAGTATTCAGCGTTGTTGAACGTGCGGGCGGTTCCAAAAGTTGGGCGTTGAGCTTGAGCGCCCTCTCAGTGGGGATGCTATAGTGCGTCAGGGGGGTGGGGGGGCAGTTTCGGGCATCGTGGTCAGCATCCGCTCGGCTTCTGTTGAACGATCGGTCGCCCCACCCCACCCCACTCGACATACATCATGTTATGCAGAGAGAGAGATCGGCATTCCCCTCGCGTTACGATGCGGATCCCGCCGCCGCTCGTTTCCGGCCCATTGTTGAACAGCCGGTTCGATTCGAACAAGGGCACTGGGACTCTTCAGGTGACGTTGGCTCCTCTTCCTCCTTCTCCTCCTCCCCCTCTCGTCCTCCCGTTTCCCGTTTCTCCCTCCTCCCATTTTTTTTTTCCCTTTTCCCATTCTCCATGAGGGACGCAGGCCAAGGAGAGGACTGGGAGGGTGAGGATACCAATTGCGACGAGGTCGGCGACGACGACGACGACGACGACGACGACGACCACGACGGCGAAGCCGGCCTCGATCACGAAGCCGATGACGACGACGATGCGCGACCCAGGACGGTTCCGGCACCTTGGAGCCGCACGAGCTCTACCCGGTGATGGGCGGGCGGACGTGTTGCCTCATCGGCCGCGTCATCGTTGTCGTCGCGTGCGTCGTCCGATCTCGTTTTTCGTTCGCAGTTTGGAGGATAATCAGAAATAGCGAATAGACACAAGAGACGAGGCACGACGATTAGGAGGAGGAGGAGGAGGAGGAGGAGGAGGAGGAGGAAGAGGATGAGGAGGAAGGCGGACCAATGTGAACCTTAGAGTCATCAGCGATGTTGGAATACACCCTTCCCCCAAGCTACCCCTTCATAGGCCCCTACAGTGGTTCATTTTAACTGAGGCAATTAATTAATTGCCTCGTTCGAGGACAACCGTTGAAAGACCTTGAAGCATGCCAAAACATTGCTTCGGGATCCGAACGCCACGGAATAACCTGACTGAGCGTTGCGTACTGACGGTCCCGAATCGTGCCAGAACGCCATTCTTGGGACTTCAACACCACGAACCAGCGCAACTGTTGCACCTTCATAAGCCATAATCCGTCCAAAACACCATGATTGGTACGCTGATCGTGGGAGTCCGTGAAACGCTTGCATTTTTTACAACGAATGCGTGCGGCGCTGATGACCAAACAATATGTTGAAAATGAGCCGCCCTCAATCCGTGAAGCTCTTGCAAATGTTTAAAACGAATGTGCGCCGCGCTAAGGCAAGGCGATATATACATGTTGAAAGCAATATTGCGAATCTTTTAAACGAATGTGCGCGGCGCTAAGGCGAGAGCCACATGTTGAAAACCATTCGTCCTCCATCTGTGAAGCTCTTGCAAATATTGAACACAAATGCGCGCGGCGCTAAGGCGAAAGGCCCATTTTGAAAACCACCCGCCTTCCATCTGTGCAACGGTTGCTGTGAAACGGCTGCCAATGTTTAAGTGTCAGGGTTGTACTTGGTGAGGAAGTGCCGGGCGTAACGCCAAGCCCACCCTAAAAATTGGCTTCTGTGTGCGACGGGGAGAATTGACTTAGGTGGAAAAGGAATTGAGGGATGAGGGAGTAGGAGGAGGAATTCGTGGAGGAGCGGAAGGTGGAGGAGGCGAAGGAGGAGGAGGAGGAGAAGGAGGAGGAGAAGGATTTTCGAGGAGGAAGCGGGGAGTGGGAGGAGGCAGTGGAACATCATGGGAGAGGTGGACGCGGATGTGCAGGATCATGATTGTTGACGAGAGGACAGGGTGAGGGGAGGAGGAGGGGGGAAGAGCAGGATGATGAGGATCGAGGAGGAGTAGGATTGACGAGAGGAGTGAGGGCGAGGGGGAGCTTGAGGCTCGGCAAAGTGGAGCAACATCATCGCGGAGGAGGTGGAAGGGGGATCGCGGATCTAAAACAGGGGAAGCGTTGGGTATGACCCCCCCCTCTCCTCCGTCGCCCTTTGTTGCGTATAGTTGTTCCTCTTTCGCACCACCAGACTCAGACGCGTAAAGGTAGAACGGTCTGGGTACATGTTGTTCGATTCGTTTGTGAGGTTTGCGGTTCCCAACCGCAGCGCGGATAGATGGCGGATGTTGTGGCCCGTGCCCCGCAAATCAAGGGAGGAAATACCGTCCCGACCCCCATATCTGGCGTTTGCTGAACATCCCTGGTCGTTTTCTGGGCAGCCCCCCCCCCTGATCAGGTCCTTTCCCCGGGGGCACTATTGCGAAAGGGGCTTGCTTGGACAAGGTGCCTGTGACGAGGGTGGTCCCTCTGCCCGTTAAGCACAGAGGGGGGCTTTGAAGTGCGCGCCCTGAGGCACGGGCGGGGGCGCCGGCGGCCCGCGGGCACCCGGTGGGGCGCCCGCGCGCGGCGCGCGCGCGGGACTCTGTCCGCCCCATGGCGCCCGCGCCGCGGGCTGGGCTGGCGGACCTGTACGCCGAGCTGGAGGCACGGCCTCGGGCCTGCCCCCGAACGGGCCACCAGTCAGGGGAGGGAACGGTACTGATGCCGCGGCTCGTCCTGGAGAGCTCTCGTCGCCACAGCTGGCCTCTCCTCGAGCTTTCTGTCACTGCGAACCCCGGGAGACGTCCTGGGAGTGATCATCAGTCTGGTCGGACCGAGGTCTAAGATCGAGGTCGGCTCGGGGACGGTGCCCTCATGTTCTTCATGGTTGTTGGATGCTCTTGTGCACCCTGGGGAGGGACCCATGGATGCTCTGTGTGTATTGGTCGGCGGAGGGCCCCACGTCCTTGAAGGATGCTATTTTATCCTTGGTCCGGCTGTAGCGGTATCGGTACGTCTTCGTCCCCCCCAAGCGGCGGTCCGTCGGAGGCCCTGTTCGGCCCTCGGCCGACGTCGGCGGCCGTCGGCGAACATCGGCGGCCGTCGGAGGCTTCCGTGGGAGGAGCCGGGAGGAGCAGGAAGAGCATCGGCGGCGAACGAGGGGGGACGTGAGAAGGAGAAGGCCTTCTCAGGAGGCGGCGGGGCTTCTCAGGAGGGCTCCAGCGAGAATAAGCCCGAATCCAACCACTTCGGACCGTTTGCGAACCACTTCGGACCGGTTGAAACCAGTTGAGGGCGATTGATCGCAACGTGCCATATTCTTTTCGTAACCGTACAACGCGAAAGCGAGAAGCTGATTTCATTTTCCCAGCGCCTGGAGGATACTGAGGGACTCGTGAGGATTCCTGGGGGAATCTTGCGGATCCTGGAGGACTCTCGGCGATTCCTAAAGGATTCCGGGGAATTCCTGAAGGATTCGGGGGGGGGTCCGGGAGGATTTTTGAGGATTTTTGCAAGACTCTTGAGGACTGGAGGGATTCCCAACGAATGTTTTGGGGATTCTTCACGGATTCCTGAGTGATCCAGTTGTGTCTGGAGGGATTCCTAAGGAACTCTGGGAGGACTGCTGGGGGACTCTTGCGGATTCCTGAGGGACTTTGGAGGGATTCCAGAGGGAGCCTCGAGGGTTCCTAGGGATTCCTGCAAGATTCCTGAGAGAGTCTTGAAAATTTGTGGCGGTTTTGCATTCGTCATTCCTCCTGCGTTCTCCGCCGTGTTGGCGCTGTCAGTCGTCCGCCGTCCGCCGTCAGTGGTCCATCGTCGTCGTGCTCTCTCTCTCTCTCTCTCTCGCGCGAGCCGCCGCCCGTGGGGAATGGGAGGATTGCGAGCGAATTGTAGGAGGAGGAGGAGGTGGAGGAGGAGAAGGAGGAGAAGGGGTGATGATAAAGAACATATGATGATGGTGGTGCTGATGATTGGTAATGGTGAATGACGATGGTGATGATACTGAAGCTGATGTTACTGATGATGATAACGATGGTGATGGTGCTGTTGATGAGGATGGTGATGATTATGCTGATGATAATGATGGTGATGGTCATGGTGATGGTGATGCTGTTGACGAATATGATGGTGGTGATGATGGTGATGGTGGTGACTAAGATGAAGTTGATGATGCTGATGATGGTAGTGATGTTGGTGATGATGATGTTGCTGATGCTGATGCTGCTTCTCATGCTGAAGGTAGTTGTGTTGATGATGATGATGATGATGATGCTGATGAGGATGGTGGTGATGCTGATGAGGATGATGATGATGATGATGATGGTGATGATGATACTGATGGTGATTATAGTGGTGATTGCGATGATGATGATGATGATGATGATGATGATGATGATGATGATGATGATGATGATGATGATGATGGTGATGGTGATGGTGATGGTGATGGTGATGATGCTGCTGATGACGATGAGGATAGTGATACTGGTGCGAAGGAGGGCGTTGATGACGATGATGGTAAGGAGGGCGAATCTGGGCATGAGAAGAGGAGGGGGGTGATATGGGGGGGTGATATGTAAGGTGGGAGGAGGAGGGGTTGGAGGAATTTGAGGGGCAATATGGAGTAGGAGACGACGAGGTAGATTAGAGCATGAGGATGAGGCTGGCGATGATGGTGATTATGCTGGTTGTTGTGGTGCTGCTGATGATGATGATGATGATGATGACGATGATGATGATGATGATGATGATGATGATGATGATGATGATGATGATGATGATGCTGATGCTGATGCTGATAATGATGATGATGGCAATGATGATGATGATGGTGATGGTGATGGTGATCATTGATAAAGCTGATGATGGCGAACGGTCGGCGATCGGACAGATAACAACCGCTTTTACAGAGTTCCATCGGGAAGCTGAAGGGAGCTCACTGCATCCAGAAGCACTCTTATGATCTCTCCCTGAATATGAGCCTTCTTGAAGAGCCCACCAAACGTCGCAACCGCTTCAGACCGACCGCAACTGGTTGCAATCTGTCCGAAGTGGTCGCCGATCGGTCCGAAGTGGTTGCCACCGGTCGTAATCACGTACCTTCTGAGAAGTTCTGTGTCTTCGGGGAAGGCTGAGAAATCTTCTCAGAAGACCAGGGGACTACCGAGCCTTCTGACAAGGCCCGCCCTTTCTCACTTCCCCCAGGGCTCGCCGCCGAAAGGAAGAGCGAGGTTCGAGAATAGAGGGTCGAGGTTCGAGGGCCGACTTTTCGGGACGAGCTCGGGTCTTGTTGCTGTCGCAGCCATAGTCGTCGTCGTCCCTAGGGATCCCATGCGCCCCCACCCGAATGCCCAGAGCCCCTCCGCACTTTACTCCACCCTCGTCCTCTTTCTCGCACGCATCAACGTCATTGTTCTGGTCGTCCCTTTCCTCATCCTCCTCATCTTCCTCCCTCGCACCTCCCGACCTTTCTCCTCGCCCCCCTTCGTCTATAAACATTATGAGTATGCTGCTATCCCTCCTTGTCCTCGCGGGTTCTTTTTTCTCCCACTCCTCGTCTTTCTCATATTTGTATTGCTCAGCCCTCCTCTTGTTCTGGTAGGCCAGATCTGCGGTGAGGTTCAACTCACATGCAACACACCCTTGATTGACGGCCCGAGATCCGATAAGCGGCAGAGGATGCGGAGGAGGCTCAGGAGGAGGAACGGTGGCCGCTGATCATGCTCAAGGCGATGTGAATACTGTTTTGCGTGACCTTGGTGTGTGTGTGCAGACGCCCGCCCATTGGGAACTTGCACTCGTTTCTTGTTTCCGCCGCCTGAGGTAGAGAAGGATGCCGACGCTGCCACGATCAAGAAGAGCTACCGCAAGCTGGTCCTCAAGTATGCGGCTGCCTGCGGCAAGTCCCGCTGCCGTGCCAGCGAGGCACTGATCATTGGTGTGGCTCCAAGCTAAGGTTGTTCTGCCATGGGCCAACCGCAGTTCCACGGGGCCTCCACGGCCCCCAGCATCCGCTTGGGCCATCTCGGGCGTGCTGGTTACCAAGCTCGTCCGAAGCGAAAGTGCGACAGCCACCTTGAGGCCTCCTGGATCAGTCTCTGGGGCCGTCCTGGGGCGGATGACGCCTGTGACGTCCAGGCTAGGCGCCAGGCGCGGAGCACCATGGGGCCCGCGGGGCAGTTCAGAAGGTTCTCCAGTCCAGGGGGGGGGGGAACGCCCTGTCAGGGGCCGGTGTGCCAGGAGGTTCTTTATGGCGCCTTTCGCCATCTTGGGGCCAAGGGCTCCGTGGCCATCTGGGCGCAGATCGGGGCCGCCTCTTGGGGGTGCGCCCCCCTTGCGGGGGTCCCCCCGGGACCCTCTGGGCGCCACCTCGGGGCCGGCTCTCGGGCCTCTCCTGCTGGCCGCCTCGGCCATCGCCCAGGGGGCCGCCTCGGCTGTCGCCTCGGGGGGCCCGTCTTGGGGCCCGGCCCGCGCGCCCCCCCCCCGCACTGGCCGCTGGCCACCGCCTCCCCAGCTCGATCAGTCGGCCGTCGTGCTTTTCGGCGCCAGGGTGGCGGGCGCCCGGGGCCTCCAGGGGCCGCCCCCCGAGGGAGGGGAGGCGTGGCAGGCAGGGAGCACCGACGGTGGACTGAATGGAGGGCCACCTTCCGGAGAGCCTCCTGGGCGCCTCTTGGGGCCCCCCGTGGAGCTGTTCGGAGCCGCTTGGGGCCATTTGAGGTTCTTGGCGCCGCCGTTTGGCTCGGGCGACGTGATGCGATGAGGGAGGCTGCCCTTGGAAGACTTCTGGCATGTGCAATGGCATTCCATATTGTGACGCGCCCCTGCGTGCCAGGTGGCACGGTGGCGGACCACCCAGACAAGAATCCTGACAACGCGGAGGCTGCAGAGGAGAAGATCCGCAGGATCAACAACGCGTACGAGACGTTGAGCAACCCAGCGAAGCGCATGGTCTACGATAACCAGGCAAGGTCCATGGAGACTAAGGCTCGGGGCATGCGCGTGGACACCTCGATGATCAAGCCTCGGATGAGCATCCCGAAGGCATTCATGCTGCATCCCATGGGGCACCCGGACAGGTTCCTACGCGCCATCGGGCGCGGGCTCGCCTTCCACTGCCGTGCTGACTTGCCCGAGGTAGAGTTCGACGCGTTCTTCCAGGCGGCCGTCGGCCTGAGCTGGCGCGAAGTATGCTCCGGCTTGCTCCTCAGACAAGGAAGCGATACCGATACCGGTACCCTTTCCTAGTCACCACGGCGGGATTCGCTTCGAAGTTCTGGTCAGAACGCACCCTGGGAGAGGTCTGGGGAGTAGCCGTATCGGTACGTGTTTGCCTCAGCTACTGTGCTTGATCCCCCCAGTCGGGTCGATCCTGAGCACAGGGCTCGAGTTATACGGTGTTTGGGCGATTTCGTGGACCGTTTTCGTTTTGATTCCGTTTCGTAGCAAAGGCAGAACGACGACACAACGAATGAATCCGAAAACAAAGCGAAAACGAGAAACACTGTTTAGCTCGAGCCCTGCCTGAGCGCGTGCGGGTGACGCCGGTTCCCGATGTTGGCATCTTCGTGTCTCTTCTCTTGTCTGGTGCCAGCTTGCGCGGCACCCCCATAACATCCAATAGCGAGTCCTGGTTCATTATCCTCGCCCTCCTCCTCCGGGTCCTACTCGTCTTCCCCCTCTACCTTCCCACCCCCTCCCATGAAAGAATACATGTCAAAACTGCTCCCCACAGACTTCCCAGGTCCACGCGATTTGTTCGAGCCTACTCCTCCATCCTGGGGACTCCTCCTGGGATCCATTCTAGCTTGTCTTCCATGCGGGATCGATGTCTTACAGTCCCTGGGCGAAACGGTCCGCCAGAGGCCCGAATGAGGAGCAACCCCTTTGCGATGTTTAGCATGATTTACTCCTGCACCCCGCAGGGGAAGCCTCCTGAGGTCCATCCCTGTTGGATTTCTGACGGTCCCTGGATCCGAAGTATGCCCCAGACATTGCAAATGGCGCAAGACCTCATCGAACCTCATCTTCCAACCTCCCCCGTTTCTCCCTCTTCTCCTCCCACCTACTCCTGAGGAGGGAGGGGGAGGAGTAGGAGAGAGGGGGGGAGAAGGAGGAAGGGGGGGGGACAGGAGAGCTAAGGAAGAAGGGGGGGGGACAGGAGAGCTACTGCTGAGCTGCCACAGGGCGATGGCCGCCCTACTGCGTGCGCCTCCACCCTGCAGGGCGTGGCCATCGCAGCTAGGACGGGGGCCTTATCTCACAGGACTTGGCCCCAGCATGCTTGCGGAGGCGAAGGGGGGAGGCAGCAACCATACCCCACAGCGCGGCTGTTAGCGAGGGTTGGCGGAGCAGGCGAGGGAGGGAGGGTGGGAGGGTGCCGCAACCGGGTTGCAACCGTGCCACTCAGGGCGTGGCTGGCCGGGGGCAGCTTCATTCCGCAGGCTGTGGCTGGCGTGCGGCAGCCGTACCACGCAGGGCGCGCTGTCGGAGAATAGCCGTGCCCCCGAGGGCGTTGCTGACAGAGCAGGAGGGGGGAGGAGGAGGGGGGAGGAGGAGGAGGAGGAGGAGGAGGAGGAGGAGGAGGAGGAGGAGGAGGAGGAGGGAGGATAAGAGGGGATAAAGAGGAGCAGGACCAGCAGCAGCAGCAGCAGGAGCAGGAGAAAGAGGAAGAGAAGGGAGGGGGACGAGGAGGAGGGAGGAGGAAGGACGGAGGAGGGGGGAGGGAGAAGGAGGAGGAGGAGGAGGAGAAGGAGGATAAAGAGGAGCAGGACCAGCAGCAGCAGCAGCAGGAGAAAGAGGAAGAGGAGGGAGGAGGGAGGAGGGAGGGAGGGAGGAGGGAGGTGGGGGGAGGGAGGAGGATGAGGAGGAGGAGGAGGAGGAGGAGGAGGAGGAGGGAGGAGGGAGGAGGGAGAAGGAGGAGGAGGAGGAAGAGGAGGAGGAAAAGGAGGAGGACCAGTGTAAACCCAAGAGCCATCAACGATGTTGGAAAGCGCCCTCCCTCCAAGCTCTCTCTTCATAGGCCCCTGCATCGGTGCATTTCCATTGAGAGATCTGCCTCGTTGGAAGACAACCGTTTGAAGACCTGGAAGCATGCCAAAACATTGTTCTCTGGATTCCAACGCCACGGATCAACCTGACTGTTGCGTCTTGACGATCGTGGATCGTGCCAGAACGCCGTTCATGGGATTTCAACACCGCGAATCGACGTAACTGTTGCACCGGCAAAATCGCGAACCCGTCCAAAACACCATATCTGGGTCGTTGATAGTGGGAACGCGTGGAACCCTTGCAAATTGTATGAACCAATGTGCGCGGCGCTAAGGCAAGAGCCACATTTTGAAAAGGAACCGCCCTCAACCCATGAATCTCTTGCAAATGTTTAACACGAGCGTGCGCGGCGCGAAGGCGAGAGCCACATGTTGGAAACGGGTTATCCTCAATCCGTGAAGCCCTTGCACATTTTGAGAACGAATGTGCGCGGCGCTCAGGCGAGAGCCACATGTTGAAAACGGCTGATCCTCAGTCCGTGAAGTTCTTGCACACTTTTAGAACGAATGTGCGGCGACGCCAAGGCGAGAGCCATTTTTCGAAGACGTGTGATCCTCAATCCGTGAAGCTCTTGCACAATTTAACAAACGAATGTGCGCGGCGCTAAGGCGAGAGCCACATCTTGAAAACCACCCGGCCTCCATCTGCGAAGCGGTTGTCAACTTTTGATATTCCGAGTCATAAACGGTGAGGAAGTCTGGCGAAACGCCCGGAAAGACTGAAAAACTGGTCTCGGGGTTCGACATGGAGAAGTTAGGTTTAAGGAAAAGGATTGGAGGAGGAGGCGGAGGAGGAGAATGAGGAGGAGAAGGAGAAGGAGGAGGAGGAGGAGGAACACTGCGACGACGACACAAAGGAAGGGCGGAGGCAGGAGAAGCGGCGACAGCAGGAGGGGAAGGCGAAGACGACGATGACAACACGGGGAGAGGCGGCAAGTTGCCGAGAGAGCCCCGTGGCCAAGCTGCTTCTCCCTCACGGCGGCCCCTGCTCAAGGGCTTGCCCCCTTCAGCAGGCGCCGTTGTTTGCCCGTTGCCTTTGCGCGAGTGCGGTAGCAGCGCCTCCGGCGAGGCGCACCCTGGCGGCCAGCTCCTCGATGGTGTCCGCGTTGCGCAGCGCCCAGTCCATCATGTGGCCTCTCCGGCAGCCCCGACCCGGACGGCCACCGCGGCCTGTCGCCCTTCTGCGGAGGGCGGGAATTGCGCCACTCAGTGGCTGAGGCCGCTCGCCCCCGGGCAGCACATGGCGCACACGACTGGCGGCCGCCCCGCTGGGAGCCCCCACACTTCGGACGTGATGATACCGGTGATGCGCGCTGTGCACCACGCCCGGTGGAAGCGCCACATCGTCCAGCCCCAAGCTCACCGGCGCGGGGATCTGAATGGCGTGCTGTGTTGTTCTTCCTGTGACCGTTCTGCTGTTGGCAGCATTTGGCGGTTTCATGGCGAATGTTGGCAGCATGCCAGGAAGGGGTCGGAGCCCCTCGGTCGGCTCGCCCACGGACTCTGGCGAACGTCGGGCAGGAGCTTTCCAAGGTGATTGTGGTGAGTTGTCCAGGCTAGCACGTGGAAGCCACGCGTTCGCCATAGCACCATTGAGCTCCGCATTCTCCTCCTCCCCCTCCTCCTCCTCCTCCTCCTCCTCCTCCTCCTCCTCCTCCTCCTCCTCCTCCTCCTCCTCCTCCTCCCCCTCCCCCCTCCCCCTCCCTGGAGGCGGCCAGATTCTCCTTGTGGTGGCTGCCCCTGGTGAACAACATGTGCCGGCTCCGCACGCAGCCGCTCGACGTATCCACGGGCATTGTGGGGGCAAAGCAGGCGAGGCTCGCGCAACAGGCTCGGATAATGTGGAGGGTTGATGAGGAGAGAGGAGGAGAAGGATCGAGGGGGTAGAGAAGGAGGTGCACGAGGGGAAGAAGGAGCATGTGACCTGCATCCACGCCGACTTGTGCCTCGTCAGCAGGAGGAGGAGGAGGCGGAGGAGGAGGAGGGGGAGGAGGAGGAGCAGGAGCAGGAGCAGGAGGAGGAGTAGGAGGATGACGAGGAGGAGGGGGTCGACCAAGGTGCCGAACGTCGACACCGCCCTGAAGGCCGAGTTCGACTCGTCCTGCATGGGTCTGCGTTGCGGCGGTGACTATCCTTGCCCGTACGCCGACAACGTAGCCGCGCACCCGCATGTGGAGAATATGCCCAACCGAACGGTCGACGGATACAAGGTGCCGAACGCCAATACCGACCCCGAAGATCGGGTACGATCCGTCCTGCGCGGGGCTGCATTGCATCGAAGACGATCCTCGCAGCTACGTCGACAGCGCGGCCAGGCTACAACAGTGGAAGTACATGCCCAACAGCAGGGTGGACTGCCACTAGGTGCTGAATGCCAGCACGGCCCTGTGGATGGAGTGCGCCCCGTCCTGCACGGGTCTGCACTGGTTCAAGGGACGATCCTGGCAGTGAGATGTCCACCACGCCCTTGAACACCACGTCTGGGAACGGCAGCGCGCCGCTGAGACGCACGACGCAGGCGAGCACGACGACGTCGAGCAGCACGATACCAGGCCACTCAACCATACTACCTGAGGCGTTGTGGCAATTCTGGCCCGCCCGCCAGCGCGAAGGGAATAGTGTCATCCTTGTCCTTTACGCCTCCTTCGCGGAGGTTTGGACCACCACGGGCACAGAGGCAGCAGTGAACGAGAAGTTGCCAGGCCTCGGGTTCATGGTAGGCGATGTTTTCTGGCTCCTTGTCTTCAGGGCCCTCGTCGCCGTGGAGACGATGATGAGGGTATGGGCGCCGCCGTTTGCTGACTGACCCGTGGTCGCGTCGCGGCTGCCAGGCTGGATGTTCGCCGCTGCCGGAACCGCATGTGGGGAATACGGCCGAGCTACAGCCGACCTCGGAGGGATCATCGCCGTCGCCGCAGCCGCGTTTTTTTTGGCCGCCGCCCCCTCGTAGCGGGCGTCCCCTCACTCGCCCCAGCCGCTTGGGCCGTGCGCTGGATCGCCATTGATTCCGACGCGACGCTCGGGTATCCTGGCGAGGGCCCCGCCGCGGCCGTGGCATCAGTAGCAGTGGACCAGCCGCCAGAGCAGGTCGAGGTGCCGCCGCCGCCAGGGCCGCGCCCGCAATCCCGCCCACCTGGAAGCCCAGACGTCTTTGTGACGACGTGGGCAGTGGACGTCGTGCGTTCCCGCTGGCGCTGCCTGCGCCAGGCGAGCCACTGTCGGGGGTCCACAGAGAGGGCGAGCTCCGAGTTTTCAGCCCAGCGCTGGCTAACCCGCAGTAGTTTCATTCATCGCAGTGCATTGAGGGGGGCGTGGGGCCATGCGAGCAGGTGCACGGCACGGCGGCGCTGACGCCTGAACAGGAAGACGAGACGAGGGAGTGCTGCGACCAGCCCGACCGGCCCTCCGGAATGGAGCATGTGGAGGACGTCCGCCAGGCCAAGAGGGCCAGAGAGGACCCCGAATCACAGCGCTAGGCAGCATCGCTAGGAGCCCCACTTCAACGGGCGGACGATGGCGACCCAGGCAGGCCATCAGAGGAGAGGGGGGGGGGGGGGGGGGAATTGACCGTCAGCAGCCGCGCAACTTTGCCTGGTAGGGCGGGGTGGTGTACCCGAAAGACTTCGTGGCGACGGTTACCGACACCGACGTTCCCCTCGAGGTCGAGGCGGCGGGGGGCCGGGCCTAGCTCCGGTGCCGGGTGGCCACGGCACGGCGCTACTTCAAGCATTGGAGTGCGGGGGTGGCCTGGCGCAGTATCGCGCGGAGAAGCTGTTCATTTTCTTGGAGGGGATGGTCTCGTTCAAGCCGTCGATGTCACGGGGCGGGCGAAAGGCTGGGAATAGCGGGGGCTTGGCCGGCATGTTCATCCTCAGGCTGGGGACGTGGGCCGGGCTTTCCAGGAATGCGTTTGCAGCAGTCGCCGGGGCACCGCGACGACTGCGCAAACCACTTGCGCTGGCCTAAGTCGCGAAGGCGGGGGAGAAGCTCGTGGGCGAGCACCTGATCAGCAAGGCCCTGGTCCACGCCAGCAGCCCGGCGACCCTGGCCGCCGGCGCGAGGGCCCAGGATGGGTTCGAGAAGTGGCTCCCCCGAGTGCATCGGCAGACCCAGGCGCGGCCCCCGGCCTGCCAGACCAGGCCACCGTGGACGACTTCGTCGCCGCCGTATAAACGAGCATGGCCAGAAGCTCGCAATGGTCGGGGCCAGGCGCGAACGGGGGCATATTCGAGCACTGGCGCACCCTTCTCGCGGACAGCGCTGCGCTCGAGGCTTTGGCCGAAATCGCTGTCCTCTTCCTGCGCGGGGGCCTCGGCGCAGTGGCGACCCAGGCCAACCTCGGAGCGCGGTTGGCGGCGCTCCGGAAGCCGAACGCACGGCGGGTTGCGACCCATTGCGCGCGGGGGAGTGTTCAGGAGGCTGGCGGCCAAGGCAGCCTGCGAGGTGCACGAGGCGGAGGTTCGCCAAGCGCGTGGGCCGCCTCAGTACGACGTGGGATAAGCAGCCGGGCGCGAGATAATGCACACGTGCACCTCCGCTCTCATCGAGCAAGCCCTCGCGGTGATGTCATGGCTTTCGACTGCTCGAACGCCTGCGTCAGCCTCCCGCGTGCTTGATTTTTCCCATGGGCTCTGGGCGCGGGGGCCCAGCCTCCTCCGCGCCGCGCGCAGATGGCCAGGGATGGCAACTAGTACGCACTTCTTGGGATGACACCAAAGGGGCCCTGCCGGCTACAGCCACCGCCCGCGTGGACCAAGGACGCCCGCTCTGCCACGGCTTCAACGCGATCATAGTAGCCGACTGCCTGGGCGAGGCCCCCCAGGAGCCCCAGCATATTTCGCCAGCCTGCAGGTTGTTCTCCAGGGCGACATGACGGCGATCGCGCCCCAGGATCACACGGCAGGAGCTCAGCGGCAGGCGGCGGCCGCCCTGACCCACCATGGCTTGGCGGTCAATCAGAGCAAGACCGCAGCGTGGTCAGCGGACCGAGTGCGACCACCCCGAGGCTATCCGGGGTTTGGAGTAGACCGCCTGAAGTGTTCGGGCAGCGCCGCGCCGCGTCTCGAACAACAGGCCGACAGGGTCAGACTAGACGGCGCGACGGCCGCGCAGCGGGCGCAGGCTATCACCCGGGAGGAGGAGGTGTTGATGATGGTGCTGCTGTGGCTGATGGTGAAGCTGATGGTGGCGAGATGATGCTGATGATGCTGATGATGGCAAGGTTCATGGTGATGGTGATGATGACTAGAATTATGATTGTGAGTCGGATTACTACTCCGCTTGAGTTTGTGCTGATAATGTTGTCGAGTATGATGAATATGATGATGATGACGAAGCTACTGGTGATGCTGATGTTGATGATGATGATGTTGATGATGATGATGCTGATGATGACGATGATGATGATGATGATCAAGATGATGATGATGCCAACGATGTTGTTGATGCTGCTGATGATGATGATGCAGACGGCCGACCGCGGGCCCCTTCCAGCCAACTGGAGGGATGCTTGGCCCTCTGACGAGGAACGCTGCAGCTGCAGTCGAGGTAGCGGAGGACTAGGGGCGGGAATGGTCATGAACGAGGAGGCGAATGCACGAACGAGGCTGGGAAGGACGACTGGGGCAGGCGAGAGGAAAGAGAAGAACTCGATGAGCAACAGCAGGATGAAAAAATGAGGGGGGAAGATGGCGACGAGGAGCACGAGGACGAGGATTGGAGGAAAGAGGACGAGAAGATGAGGACGAACTCGACTAATATCGAGGGCGGAGGTGTCCGAGATGCCCTGGTTGCAGCCGCGGCGCGTGCAGCTCGAGGAGAAGGTGGCAGCGCTGGAGTTTGCGAAGGATGCGTTGGTCTACCATGTGCAGAACTGGTCGGTCGCATCAATCCTCCTCCTCCTCGTCTCCCTCCCCCCTCTCCGCCTCCTCTCCTCCACCTCGTCCTCTTCCTCGTCGCAACTTCTCCCAGCGCAATCCCCTCGTCGCCTGGCCCCCGAGGCCCAAGTGATGGCGGATTGGTCTCGCATCGATATCTTTCCAGGTCGTCCGAGGCCGACATGGACTACGCCGAGTGCGTCGCTGCCACCACAAAGGCCATCAGCGGGTGAAGAGGGAGAATGAGGAGGAGGGAGTGGAGGAGGAGGAGGAACTGGAAGAGGATGAAGCAAGGGAAGACGCAAGATTGACAGATCCTCCCACTCGCGATCGCCTATCCCGTTGATCCCTCCATGGGTGCAACGGTCGAGGGGATCGTGAGAGGGGGCGGGGACTCCAGGCGAACAGCTTCTACCAGATGACCACCCTGTCCAGCAGTCCGTCGCCGCGGCCAACGCGCAGATCGCACCGCCGTGATCCACCGCCCCGACCCGAGCACAAGTTCGAGAGGAGGGAGGATCCGGCATCACCGTAAAGGAAGAGAGAATGATGAAACAATCGGCGGGGGGGTGACGGAAGGTGACGGAAGGAGCTCCAGATGAGGGTGATATCTTCGAGGGCAGTGATCGAGTGATCAGACCTCCTCTCGATAGTAAGGGGGCCCTCGAGGGGCTCATCGGCCATGTTTCTCGGCCATTCTGAAGGGTGGGCGCCTAAACATTTCAACGCCCCTTGTCCCAGTCAGAGACGGGCCCGCGGATGGGGGGTGCCCCCCCCATATGCGCGGGCCCGTCTCTGACCCTGGAACCTTCTCTTCGTTTGGGGGCCCGAGGCCATGCCCAGAGCCCGAGGCCGTCTCTGACCCTGGTGCCCTTCCTCGTTCGGCCGAGGCCATGCGAAGGCCGACGTTTCGGACCGATCGGTCCTAGTTTGCTGGCGCGCGACGCGCGCGACGTTACAGCTCGAGCAAGGCGAGGAGGGGCTCGCCGTGCATCGCTCGAAATAAGCGACGCGTTCTCGAGAATTGCACGTCTCCTCCTCGTGCCCTTCTTCAGTCGTCTTCCTCCGCCACATTACCCCCCTCTTCTTCTTCATCCTCCTCCTCCTCCTCCTCCTCCTCCTCATCATCATCATCATCATTCTCCTCCTTCCAAGTTTAGTGTACCTCCACGCGTAGTGTTTACACGCCCTGGTTGCAGGTACCCTCCCAGCTTGATTGTCTGAGGAGGGCGTGGCACTCAGCTGGTGGAGCATCATCTCGCCCGCCCGATCCCCATCCAACCATTCCCGCCCGACCCCCTGACGCTCCTTCCTTCGCCTCCCGTACTGGTGCAGGCATCCTTGCAGAATGCTCTGCACTGAGTTCGTTAATGGTGCTACGTGGGTCGTCCCGAATACGCTCGCGCGGGCACTCCAAGTGTTGCTGATCACCCATCCCCAGTTCTACTAACGAGGGGCGAGAAGGGATGCCAGTGGACATACGCACATCATATTATGGAGGCGTGGAGTGGAGGAGCCAATTCTGTTTTTGAGAGGGGCCCCAGGGTCAACAACGTTTGGTGACACCTCCCTGGGAGCTGGGGGCCTCTATACCTCGCATGGAGGAGGGGGGAGAGACATCATTGAACACCTCGCCACATCCATCATCAAATGCAATCATGCTGCATCTTGAAGATGTGTGCTGTTCCATTGCGTACCTGTGCATCCTTGCTTCTGCTGACCAGGTGGAGGCAAGTTCCAGCTAGGGGAGCTCAAGGAACTTGCATCGTCACTGCGCGCATCCTGGGGCCATCGACGCCAGAACTGATACGATATCATGGTTTTAAACAATATGTTGTGGCTGTTCACTTGAAGCGTTTCAAACAAAACGTTGTGGTTGTTCACTTGAAGCGTTCGGTTTGATTGGGTTTGTCCGTAAGCGTTTCGGTTTCAAACGATACGTTGTGGTGGTTTCACATGTCAGCCCGCGCCGCTGCAGCCCTGCTCTCGAGATCCACCGACGCTGGAGGTGGAGGGGGTCGCGCGGGCGCTGGAGGCAGTGCGGGTCGCGCTCCTGGTGTGGACGCTGGAGGCAGCCCTGGTGTGGGCGCTGGAGGCAGTGCGCGTCGCGCTCCTGGTGTGGGCGCTGGAGGCAGTGGGGGTGGCGATCCTGGCGCTGCAGGCCAGGGCACGTCGGCGGTTGAACCGCAGGGCCCTGGTCCGAGGGATGTGGTTTGTATACGAGTGTATGTATGTATGTGTGTATGTATGCCTGTGTACACATATATGCATATACGTATACATGATTATATATATATATGTATGTACAGATGTATGTACATACATCTATGCATACGTGTGCGTATACACATGTAAACCTGTTTGTAGGAAGGGGCGGTAAGGTGACCTTCCCCTCGGATGACGTTTTAAATCCCGTCTAGATCCCGTCTGTCAGGGCCCTGTGTTTGAACCGCCGAAGCAACGGATCTGGCCTCCGAGAGTACGTGGTGGACAGGTACCGCCGTGGCCTCTGGACGGCCACTGACGCGTGCATTCTAGCGCACCACTTCACTCATGCAGGCCAGCCCCGTGGAGTATAGCATCTTCCATCCCCCACCTCCTTTTTTTTTTTTCTCTCTCTCTCTCTCTCTCTCTCTCTCTCTCTCTCTCTATATATATATCTCTTTATGTTATCCCTGTCTCCTCCCTCATCGCTGTCCTCCGCTCATCCCCCCTCTCCCCTGCGCATTTCCTTGTCACCCTTCCCCTTGCATTTGGAAGATGCGAACACTCCAGCGGTTTTGCAGGGGGCATTGGCCTGAAAGACTTAGCCCGCGCTCCGGGTCGTGGGCAGCATGCTGAGCACATTAGGCATGCACTGGGTGAGAGACGTGCTGCATAATTTTACACGCGTGCCCTTCCCATGTGGAGCAAGCATACGGAATCGAGATACTTGAACAAAGAGTTCCCCATTAGCTTACCACACGGGAGGTTTTTCGAGATGCTGGAGCAACCTCCTGCAGATTTCAACACTGCTGTTGATATTAATGATTTACCTGGGACGTATGCTTCGCACCCTGTTGTTTTAGAAAGAGGACGCGCATGCACCATTCCTCTCACGCTATACGCAGACGGAGTTCCGTTCTCGAAAACAGATTCATTTATTTGCTGGCATTGGAGTTCGGCTGTGGATCCCAACAGAAAACGACATTTGATTTGCATTGTGAGAAAATCTGACTTTTGCCAGTGCTCGTGCAAAGGGTGGTGCACGATGCAAGTAATCCAAAAGGTGATCGCCTGGTCATTCTCGGCGCTCGCCGCTGGCACGTTTCCGTCTCTGGACCACAACCAAAAGCCTTTTTTTTCCCAAGAGCTTCGCGAGCTCCACCGCGGCCTCCCCTTCGGGAAATATGGCGCTCTCGTGGAGCATCGCGCAGACTTGTTAGAATATGTTTCTTGTTTCGGTTTTACAAATTGGACGCACGTTCACCACCCATGCTTCTGTTGCAACGCATCCCGCGCTGATATGTTTAATTCTGCCCGCGCGTTGGCCCTCTGCCCTTGGCGCCCCCGCCAGCGTAGCGATTTTAATGGTGACCTCGGGGCGTGCGTGACCAAAGGGTGCGTTCAAAGTCGTGCCCAGCTGCGCAGGCTTCTAAGGTGCATGGAGCTTTCGCGCAAATATGGTGGCTTTGCGCTGGTAAGGCCTTTGCCAGAACTTCATAAGGCCGTGGGGTGGATCGTCATTTGCGACGAAAGCCTACTTGATTGGCACGCCCTCGTGGGCACAGGTGGATCCCTTGGCGTGGATATGCCAGGCTGGCTCACGTTTTTCAACGCTGCAGACACTTCCAACATTAAATTCTGGAGCCCGCTGTCCACCATCAGAGGGTCTAGTGTCGATTGTCTTCACCTCGATTGTATGCACGTTTTCGACCTCGGCATCAGCCAAAATGTTGCTGGTGAGGTCATGCTGAAACTACTTGACGCAAAGTTTGCGCAATCTGCGGAAGAACGGGGGCCCGCGCGCGTGCCGAGTTCGCAACCTACCTGCTGCTCTCACTTTTGGGATCCTCTGGTCATTCCTCCTCGTCCGACGTTGTCTGCCCTCTCCATTCCCATTATCGTCAAAAGGCGTGCTTGGGGGCCCAATCACCCACCGTGGAGCGGCGGCGGGTCGATAACATGGTTCATTTGCGCAGGCGCCTCAAGGCGCATTTATAGTATGCGCCGTATGCCGCGCGGCAAGCATTCAGTAATCAACCGCTTACAGTACAACCAGCTAAATGCTGGCGGCGCGCGCCCCCCCCCTGAAGGCGAAAGCTGCGCGAACGCGGAGACTGATGCCTTTCATTCGGATTTTAGCTGATGGGAATTGGCGCTTTCTCGGCGCAGGCCATGGGCACCTTCGCCGCGTAGTTTCGGCGCTCGTGGATATGGAAGTCGCCATGAAACGGTCGCCCCGCAGAATGCAGCCAGTTGCTCTCTCACAGCTCCAGAACCACATCGTGACAGCTCTGCGCGAGTTGAAGGCGTGGGGCGGCCACGAAACGTATAAGTTTCACGCGGCCTGGGACCTTGCCAAAAGAGCAAGTACCCAGGGCAACCCCTTTTTTTATTGGACATATGCGGACGAGCAGGAGAACCGAGTCATGGGGGCAGCTGCGAAAAGCGCGCACGCGGGACCAACATTCTACGTTACACTGTTGCAGAAGATCTTGCCCGAGGCGCGCCGATCGCAGCGCGCCTCAGGTGGGGCAGATCTTGAGCACGTGTACGCGCGTAATGTTTGCGTCGCGTGTGGGCTCTTCAAATCTGCTCCCTTGGCGCGTCACCTCCTGCTCGTGACAAAAGAAATTGACTGTGCACCGCACGTGCTCAACAAGGAAAGGGGTTTGCAACAACAGTGGGGCTACTTGGCGACCAAACGCACTTATCGAATCACAACGCACACAAACTAATGACGATCTGTGCAATACAGGAGCACATCAAACACACAACAATGCTCATGTGCAAAACGAAACACAACACCAACACAAAAAACCCGTTGAATAAGAGATTGCGTTGCTTGTCAGAAGAGATTGCTTGTTTTGCCGACTCCTCCTCTACCTCGCCCCCTCCAGCACCCCCATTCGATCAACCTCCCCCACCCCCCCCGCCACCTCTTCCACCCCCACGACCTGGATGGTCGACGGTTTGGCTGCTGCTGGCCACCCTCGAGGGGCGCGCGTGCCATTTGCGACGTGAGCATTGCCCTGGCATGGTATTTCCTGGCGGTGAGAAGACATTGCGCTGTTGTTCGCATTCCTGGGGGCAGGGGAGGGTAAATGTGGCCCACAATGGATGAGCGGAGATTGCGTTGATTTGTTGCTCGTCGGGCGCCGGCTGCGGGGCAGCCAGGTGCTCGAGGCTGGCATGAGCGAATTCTGAGCGCTGCTAATTTCTACGGATGAGAAAAAAGATGGGGGACGAGATTGCGTTGTTATTTGTTTTTGCTCTGTCGGTCTGGAGTGCCCGAGCGGCTTCCAGGCGGCCCCTGCGGCGAGGCAGCTGCGCTGCGCGGCCATCGATTTTACATGTTGCTTCTACGAGTTAGATGACAAGAGGGGGGGAGGGAGGAGGAGGGAAGCGGGAATGCGCGAGAGGGGGAGGGAAGCGGGGGACAATAGATGAGAAGACATTGCGTTGTTCGCTGCTCTGGCACCGAAGTGGCTGCAACGCAGGCGCGGGCCGCTGCGCAACGGCGAGCGGTTGGGGCCCATCGCCCAATCCGAGTTTAGAAGGGGTGAGGGTGTGTAGCGGAGAAAGGATGGACGGACTGTGAAGGGAAATTGGATGATAATACATTGCGTTGTTTGTTGCTCGTCCCACACATCGGGTGTCTCGAAAAAATCGAGACGACAATATGTCATGATTGTCTGATTTTTTTGGGGTGGGATTTCACGTGCAGGCCCTCGGGACCTTCAAAAAAACAATTCGAAAGATCGAGGCGCCTGATGTGTGGAGGGCGCAGGGGGCTTATGGCCTCCTGGCCCAGGCGGCGCCCATCGCGGGCCCACGGACTCCACGGAGAGCACTTTATGTACCGTTTCACAGCGTTTCACTCGCAACTATTGTGTTGTTGCTGCCCTGGCAGAGATTGCTGCGATCGCCACTGCGGTGCGCTTGAACGATTTCATCAACAATTTCCATGCGTGGTCGCTGTTTTTGTCCCCTGGGGGAAAGGGGCAGGGGCATAGTATTCAGGCGGGATAGTGATAAGAGATTGCGTTGTCGGCTGGCCCCGCCGGAACGGGCGCCTTCTTTTTCCAGTCAGCTGCTGCTTTATCCAGCCAACTTAACGTTCCGAAGAGGAGCAGAGATTGCGTGATTGTTGTTTTGCGTCAGGCGCGCATGCAGCCCACGTGGCTGCATCGCCAAGCGCGCGGTGAGCAGATTGGAAACCCAGACATCCGACGCCTCAATTTTTTCGAGACGCGGGCCCCCGACCTCCCGACCATTTCCCTGGGGCCAGTTTTTCATCCCGAGTGGTTTTTTGACGGCCCCGACGCCCGGCGAGGGCCCCGAGAGGCCAAAAACTATGTAACACCTCTGTCTCGATTGTGTCGAGACGCCCGAAGTCTGGGAATACTTACAGCGTCGCCACCGCGCGTTATGCATACCCATCCTTCCTGAGGGTGATATTGGGAAAATCAGGGAGAGAGAAGGGGGGAATTCAAGGCAGAAGGAGGACAAGTAGGGGAGGTGATGACTAGAAATTGCGTTGTTTGGTTTGTTGCGTTCACGGCGCCGCATTCGACAATTCCATGTCGAATTTCTCGATGACTACGGAGAAGGATCCGAACATACTTTGCGAATAGAGGTGGATACAGATTGCGTTATTGTGCGTTTTCGGTGGCGGGGAACACCACCGCCGCCAACCCTTCTGCTCGACTTCCGCTTTGCAGGTGTTTCCCTGGCAACGATTGCAAGGATAATTGGAAAATGGATAGGGAACCGTGTGATAATAATGTAGCAACGTAAATAACAACGCGAAACAGCATGGTCATGTCAACACATATATGAACACAAGCGCACTGCCATACATATACGTATACACATATATTTCCATGCGCTTCAACATATACGTACGCATACAGTTGTATTCATGTGTATATATTCAAATATGATGTTTGTTCCACCACCCTTATGTTTCACCACCGTGGGCTGAATATTTCACCACTCCTATGTTTCACCGCCCTGCTGATTTGGGGTCGCGTTTCTTCTCAGGCCTCGGGCCCCTGGCGGCGCCGGCTGCAGGCCTTTGACATTTCCGAGAACGGTGCCCCTGCACGTTCCCGTCCGAGAGCGGCGCCCTACACACTTGCGTGCTACAGTGCAAAGCTGAAGAGAGAGAGAGAGAGAGAGAGAGAGAGAGAGAGAGAGAGAGAGAGGGAACGAGAGCCAGGAACAATTGAAAACAGTAAAGACCTTGAGACTCGTCGCTCCTGGCCCATATTTTTCTACATGCGGTCGCCCTTCGGGGCGCCGCCCTTCGGGGCGAAGCTTCCATCCCAGGACGAGAAGAGATTGCGTTGTTGTCGCCACGCATATGTCGCGTCCGCGCGTGCATTTTTACGATGATCCAGAACTGTTTGCCTTGCCTAAACAATCATCGTCATCCCGCATGTTTGCGTATCTGGTGGGTTCTCTGTCCGCGCTGTTCCCCAGCCCTGACTCGCCAAACTATCCTCTCGGCTTCCGCCTGTGCTCCGGCACCCTTGAAACGCAGAGGCGTTACTACCAGCGCCCAACGACGCAGTTCCTAGCTCATAATGCACGCGGTTGCAGCAACAGTCTGTTGTTGGCAACGCTTACATATAGTAGAAAAGCTGTCTACATACACACAACATCTTCACAACGAACCAACGACAACAGACACGCTATTTCACCAGAGCTACAGATGTCTCGTTGTTTGTGCAATGTCTTGTTTTTGTTCTGCTTTGTCTTGGATAAAACCATGACGTTCTGGGCGGCATTGGTTTTTTTAGGGCTGTCTGATGTCTGGGAGGGCCCTCGGCCCAGCCACCGCCGCCGGGCCCTTCGGCGCAGGAGTCCGGCCCGCCGGTCGGGCGATCGATTTGGCGGCTGGGCAGCCGCCGCGGCCGCTGCCTACAGGGGCGCCGCTGCGCTCGCGATTTCGATTTCCGGCCTCGAAGTGCTGCCCGGCTCGCGCGCGGCCGGTTCTGTTGGCGCCATGCCTCCGCTGCTCCTCGCGTCGTTCACAATTGCGCTCGCCTGGCCGCCGGGGGCGCAGCTCCTGGCATCGGTCGACACTGATCCAGGATTCCGACGCGATCGCGCTGTGATCTGGACATGCGGCGTTGGGCCCTGCGTTGTCTACGCGGCGGGTGGCCATCCCCCCGCGGTGGAGAAGGCAGACTGGGCGAGGGCGCATCGGATGGGCAGTTGCCGCGATCCGCTCCCGATGACCGCGCCCGCCTGGCGCAGTTCGACCAGGCGCCCTCGGGCGCTGCGTTGCAGCAGCTCGTCGTGAAGGCGCGCTCAGAGATCGCGGAGCTCCGCGCTGCGGGCCCGGAGCGGGAGGCTCTGCGCAACCCCGCCCGTTGCCCTTGAGAGGACGGCCGTGCGCCCCCATTCGTGCGGGGGCGCGCGCGCGCGGCAAGCAGCTCGCGCCCTCCCTCGGCGTTGCGCCCGTGCAGCGCGCGCCGGCACCTCGAGGCGGCGGCGTTCTGCCTCGCCGCGCGCGGGACCTGCGCGGCGCCCTCCGACGCGGGCGCCAGTCGCGGGCCAGCCCCCGCGCGGGCCGGCCCGGGCCTCTTCCGCCGCTCAGCGCCGCGGAGGCAACGTCGGGATGTGGCCTGACCCGCGGGCCCGGTCCAAGATCATAGCCTCCGCCAAGCGGGCGCGCCATGGGATTCCGGAATTTGTGCGAGGCGTTGTGCGCGGACGGTGCGCGCGATCAACTGAGCGCGCTCTCCTGCGGCCCATCCAGCTGGGGTTAGGCACCCTGCGGCTGCGCCTGCTGGCCTGCGCTGCCAAGCTGCCCCGCGTCGCCCTCGTTCTCCTCCCCGCCCGCATCGCGCCGCCTCGCCCTGGCTGGATGGAGGAAGGGAGGTAGAGTGTGGTCGTGGCCGGTCGGCCAGCGGCTGCACCTGCGCCCGGCAGGTCGCGTCGGGCCGGGAGAGGGCCGGCTGCGCTGCCCTGCCCCTGCGAGGTTTTCGATGTTTTCGACGCGTCGGATCCAGAGCATCACCGACGCTGGCTCGGGGGCCCGTCTCGCCCCCAGCGGTCGAGCGTCAGGCAGCGCTCAGGCGCAGCCTCCGCCGTGGACTGGCGTCGCCCAAAGGTCAAGGATGAGGCCTAGATCGCGGCGATGCGGCGCCGCGCTCAGAAGCTCCCAGCTGCCGCCGGCGCCTCGGCCGCCGGCGGCCTGCCCGGGGCAGGCGCCACCGCCGCGCCAGGTGGCCTCAGGGGATGGCCGAAAGGAAATTTCACGGGGGGGGCCCAAGGGCGGCGAGTTCCAGGAGGGGCCGCAGCCGCCATGACCGAGAGGCCCCCGAGCAGCAGACCTGGCCCGCCCGCCGCCGCCTTGCTGGGGCCTGCACGCGGCTTCTTCGAGATGCCCCCTCTGCCAGGCGATCCCGCCCTTGTCGAGGGCTACAGGGGCCATCTTCTTTTCGGCGCCCATCGTTGGTTCTGCCGAGACTAGCGAGAGCGCGCGCGGGGAGCTAAACGTCGCGAGCGCGGGCTTCGGCACCTCGTCGGCGTCGGCCCCCGCCTTCTACGCTGCCGGCAGGGCTTTCTCGAGCGCATCGCCTCGGGCAACGATTTCCACTGAGGGCCGCCTGATGACTGCCCCCCCGAAGGGGGCCCACGCGGGGCTACTTCGAGGCCGCGGAGTCTACGACGCCGAGACGGCTTACACTACGCTGGCGCCCTACCACAGCGGCGGGCCCCCCCTCCTGGACGACGCGACCGCCGCGCCCGCTGTGGCCTCTCTGCTGCGCGGCCGCGCTCTCGAGTGCCTGGCGGAGGCTGAGGGGCAGGTGATCGCGGCCGCCGAGGAGGCCCAGCTTGATCGCGGCGTGAATGGCGCGATCATGATGCGGCAGTCGCCGGCGCCGCGCCGCATTCATCAAGGGCCCGAGGCGCCGCGGGCTGGTCGGCTTCACTGAACGCCCCAAGGAGTTCGTCGGAGTTTCCCTCACGCGGAGGAAGTAGCTGGCCACCGTGGGCATGGCGTTGGGTCGCCGCAGGTCCGATCCGCACTTCGAGAACCCTTGGGGTGGATTTGCTGACCGCGGATCGCCTCGACCGCGCAGAGCACGGGAGCGACGGCGGCGACCCTGCGCTGCCCATCTTCTTCGGCGAGGCCGACGTCAAGCATTGCTTTAACCTCGTGATGTTTGACGGCCAGATGTCGCGCTACTTCTGCTACCCCAGCAGGGTGGCCAAGGAATTCGGCGCGGTGGGGAACGGCATTGGCGACAGGACTGCCGTCGCCCACGACCTCGCGTGGCCCTGCGCCCTGGCGCTCCCAATGGGTTGGACGCAGTCGCTTTCCCTTGCCCAAGTCTCTAGCCCGGGCCTCGTTGAGAAGGCGCCGGCGGCTGCGTCCAGTCAAGCAGTTGCCGATCGCGCCCCCCCCCCCCTGTTCTGTTCGCCGCGAGTTCCTGGCGCCGCGCAGGCGCGGGCGCCGCCGTGGGGGTTGGAGGCGCTGAGGCGCTGGGTGCGCAACTCGATGGCGACCGCCGCCACGCGGTCGACGCCCACTGGCGCTGAGGGTCCAGCACGCCCTCCGCTTGGCTCTCGCCCTCCGCCGCATGGCGGGGCGCGTCGGTCTCTCGCGCTGGGAGAGCCTCGCGGCGCGGCGCACCATCTACATTTTCATTCGCGAGCGCTACTGGGCGAGAGCCCACGGCAGACCGATGTCGCATGCTTCTGGGCCCGACGCCGCTGCTGCGCTCTGAGTGGAACCGGCCGCGGCTCCCGCGAGTCCTCTCCGTGGGCGCCAGCCTGCGCGGCCGGGGGATCTCTCCTTCCGACGCTGGCGCCTCCGACGCGAAAAAGCATGGCCGCGTGATGAAGCGATCTCGTTTCTGCCGCCGAGGCTGGATTCCCGCTCTTGCCAGCGCCCTCGTTGCCTCTGGCTTGTCGTGCTTGCCCGACGCCCGGGGCGTCGACCGTTAGGGAACATAATGCGGGATGTTTTAGAGGCTGGCACCTGAGAGATCCCAGGGCCCCTTCTTCACGGAGATCGGTGGCGTCTTACCTCGCGCGGCAAGTGGGCCCAGGGCGCCCAAGTCTTTGGGGCCCGCGTCCTCGCCAAAGTTGTCGCCATAGTCTGTAAGTGTGCTCCTGGTGGTTTCTGCAGAGTTCTGTTATTGGGTCTCAACGTGTCCTCTCCGCCAGGCGCGGTAGATATCGAGTCCGTAGTTTTGGTCTCCTGGTCTTGATAAGACCCCTTGCGCATTGCGGCCCATGCGGCCCACGCGCTGGGCCGCGATCTTCGTTTCGGATTATGTTGGCACCCCTTGGAGTTGAACGGCAGCGATGCTGGGCCCTGGATTTGCGACCCCATGCAGCCACGACCGACCTCGCCCGACTGGTGGCTCGGGGACAGCCCGCGGGTCATCCTGAATCGGAAGGCGTCTTGGCTCGATCGAGCTCGTCGATCCTGAGGCCCTTTGTCTGGCCTGTGCGCGTTCCTCGATTGCGACGCAAAAGGACTCGCATCCTCACCGCGCCCTTCTGCCCGAATCCGGCGACGAAGCAGGCGCGGGCCCGTCGGGCGAGAGTTCCGACGCCGGGGTCGACGCAGCCCGCGGCGGCGTCGCGTCCGACGAGGACTCGGGCGCTCGGGGCGCCAGGCGTTCGAGACAGCCTCCTGACCGAAGCGGGTCGGTCTGCGCAGCCGTCATTAGAGGCAGCGGCCGACAGCGGGGCCGCTCGGGCCACGGCAGTTGTCGCGGCCGCTGCCGCCGCCGAGGCTGCCGGCGTGGACGGCGATGGCGTTGACACGGATGTCGACGAATCGACCGAGGCAGCGCGGGCCGAGGCGCATCGCCAGCGCCTTCTGCGCGCCGCGTGCCGCGCCCGCAATCATTTCCTGCGGGCAGAGACGCCCCCGCCACAGTTGGCGCCCGAAGAGATGGCGGTGACGGCGCGGGCAGGGAGGCAGCACATCCTGGAGCTGCAGCAGTTCGTCAACTTTGCGCGCGCGGAGCAGCGCCCCGCGGCGGGCCTGGCCCAGGTCGTCGCGGCGCCGGTGAAGTACATAAACTACATGTTTCTGAATGAGAGCAGGCGCGCGGGGGCGAGAAGTCCCGAACCGCCGCGCTGGCCCGGGCGCCAGAGCATTCGCGCGTGGGGCGGCCTCGCGGGATGGCGCCGCCTTGCCCCCGTCGGTCGCGGAAACCGGCCCCCTTGCCGGTCTGGCGCGCCATCGCCGTTGAGCTGGCGCGCCGCGGGCTGCTCGCGATGGGGCCGGCAGCGATCATCGGGGTCAGCTGCTCGGGCCTTCGGAGCTCCTGACCCTCGACGCCTCGAACCAGGCGGCTCCTGCCTCGCCGCCTCGCCAGCGTCGCGCTACTGGAGCCTCCTCCTCTAGCGCCCCTCGGAGTGCTCGAATCGCAGCGGGGCCGGGGAGGCAGACGACTTGATTGCGATCGACAGCCAGTCTATGCTTTCGTGGGTGTGCCACTACCTCCAGGTCGCAAGGGGGCGCGGCCGCTCGCTGTGTTCCTTCGGCAATTTTGCATCCCAGGCGGAGTTCAAGACTGATTGCAAGATGCTGGGGGAGATCGAGCTGGCGCCCTCCCGGGCGCGCCACTCAGGGCCCCCAGTCGACCGCCTGGAGCCCACGAGAACGCGGGAGGAGTGCCAGCAGCGAGGGCGGCAGAAGTGCCCGCCACGAGAAGTACGCGCGTCTCGGCAGCCTCTGGGACGAGCTCTCGGTCGCGATGCGATGTCACATGAAGCTGCGCAGGGAAGAGCTCGCCGCGTTCTTCCTGTCGCCCAGCTGTTCCCCTTCCGCCGCCAGCCGCATGAAGGTGACCTCCGATGGTTCCTACGTGGCCGACCTCTTCGTTAGTTTGGGAAAAGGTCGGGCGTGAGGCAACTCGATTGGGCTTCTCTGCTCGGGCTTGGGGCATCCTACATGGACCAGATCTTGGCCTCACTCCTGAGCGTGTCGTTGTCAGTCGTTATCCGACATACGTATCGGAAGGGTCTTCGGTGCTATGATTGCGTTGCCGCGTTTTCATTGATCACCACCCGGGACAAGGCTTACCATATAAGGTCCAGTACTCAACCCTAGGGTACCGATCTCAGTCACGATTCCGATCGTGGCAGACACTATGGAGGCCGGCAATAAGATAACCCGTGCTTTTTGTATGCATCTTCGCACACTTCAGCAAGTATCTTATATACAGGTCCCGATGATCTCTGGGAGTCCTCGCACAAGTAGATTGTTGCACATACCTGAGCTACTCTCCCTCTCTGAACGTGCTCGAGCGCGATGGCGTTTGACAGTTTCCTGCCAGTGGGGGGGGGGCATGGCGGAAGAGGACTTGACTGGTTTGTGGTAATATCAGCGATGCAGATTCTGGTCACGTCGCACGCGATTGTATTGGCAAGAAGGGTAATCGCTCCCGCACCGACCGTAGCCACATCGAGCTTCCTGGGCGGGATGCCAACAACATTTTGCGGATCAGCATCGCGCAGCCGTGCCCGACACGTCTGGCGACAGCCATGGCAAAAACTTTGACTTCAGAAGGATTCGCTGCTTCCTCGTACAACGCCGGTGGTCTGATCAGAACTACTGTTGCCGAATGGTTTCTTTTTCGTTCCTCCCCAGTTGCTGTGGCAGTGTCCCGCCCGTCCCTGGGGAACCCATGTCCTCGGGATTTCGGGAAGCTGGGATTGGCCGAGCGCCTGTTCCAGCCGCCCTCTCGAACGTTGAAGTTGTGCGTGACCCTGTGCAGTCAGTCAGTTACTCCGATGGTGCCCGCTGTAGCAATGACGTCTTATCATGTAGGTGCGTGCGCGGGAATGATATGTAGTGTGTTTCGTGTGCCGGGGCCCTGACGTCTCCTCGGGCCCATTGGTCGGCGAACGTCTGGGCTCGAGCTCGACAGGCACTTTCCTTGCTGCTGCTCTTTGCACCCGCCCTTTTTGATTTTCGTTCTGTGGGGTTGGCCGAACAACTGTTCCAGTCTCCTTCTCGAACGTTCGAGCTGTCTGTAACCAAGGGCAGTCAATTAGTGCAGATGTTACCCGCAGTAAGAAATCACGTCTTCTCGCAATTAAGTTATTGACATGAGTTTGCGTTCAGAGGCGGGGTGCCACGGGGCCGCTCCTCCAAGAGGCTGTTTCCGGTAGGAGGCGCTCCCGTGGCTAGGAACCCTGAACAATAATCTGAACGCCCGGGGGTCTCCTTTGGTGAATGGGGTGGGGGTCCACTCGGGTGATGCCGCGGGTTTGTTTTGGAGGGGGTCGAACACGGGCAAAACACGCCCGGAGGAGGAGGAAGAGGAGGAGGAGGAGGCGGAGGAGGAGGAGGAGGGAGGGAGGGAAGGCAGATGAAGGGAAAGGAGGGGAGAGGAGCGAGAAGGCGGACAAGAGGGAGCGGGGGGTGGACGAGGCGTGGGCCAATGGCCCGCGCCGCTGTCCCTTTATTTCTGCTTCCTCCGTGCAGGCGTCTTCAGGCCCGTCGGGGCAGATCCTCAGCTTCGGCCTCGGGCCAGGCGATTCGCAGTCGGACGTGATGCTCTCGGACAACGAGCAACCGCAGTGCACCAACGTGATCGCCGTGGCCAGCCCGGACTACCCTGGGGCGTACCGGTTCGAGGCCGCCTATTGCCCGGGCCATTATCTGTCTTTCGACCCGCCGAAGCACGCCCAGATGATGCGCGGGGGCGACCAATTCGCGGTCATCGACTTCGTCTTGACGGATTTCTTGGTCAGCGAAAACTTCAAGACAATCGACGAGGTGCTGTGGCCGCGCGCAAAAGCGGCCAGGGCGGGGGGGGCGGCCTTCTGAGAAGGCAGGGGGCTTCACAGAAGCCGTCTTGCCTTCAGAGTTCACTGTTTAGAAACCTCGGAGTGGCGACGGCCCCTTCGAAGAAAGACTGCCGCCCTCCTCGCCTTGCTTCTTTGTGTGCACCGCCGACCCTCGACGAGGTGCTGATCCCAGCGGTCGAGGCCCTGGGGGGTGGCAAGGAGGGCGTCAGCCTCACAAGGGTCTGCCAGAACTCTGGCGTCGTGCACCACTTCCAGAAGACCATGGGTGGCGTGATCTGGGATTTCGAGGACTTCAGGCTGGAGAAGACGAGGGCCTCGAGTGGGAGGAGGAGGGGTGGGGCGAGAGAAGAAGGAAGTAATTGTTCGCCGGAACAGAGATTTGTCCGCGCTTGCGTAGCGTCTCTTTCTCCGTCTTCCTTCGTTGCCTCTGCTGATGTTTGCTCTTCCCCCGTCTTCCTCCGCAGTCGTATGTTCAAGCTCTCTTGGCCCCTGCGGGGCCCGGTGCCTTTTTCGGGGTGGACGGGCATTGCCGAAGCACGGGCGGCCTTCGCCTAGGGGGTCGCAGCCGTCATCAGTGCCCAGGCGGCGCTGGAGCTGGCGCGGGACGGTACGCCCCTGGCGTGGGTGGGCGAACGCCTCATGCACTGCGATGGCGCCGACCATTGCTGTCTCGCGGTCGTGTATGGCGAGCGGGCTGGCGGGTGCTACTTGCAATGTGTCGCTCAGCCTGGCAGCGAGGAGCGGCAGCGGCGCAGCACGAGCGTCTCGGACTTTAAACGGAGAAGGTTAAAGGCGAGGTATAAATCGAGCATGTACCGCTGCCGTGCCTGGCTCAAGCCGGGCCCGGCCAAATATGTGATTGTGCCTCACCGAGGCGCACGACTTGCATCAGAGATCGGAAAATACCTTTTCCATTGACGATGCCCATCCTATCCTTTACTCCAGATCCCATGCTTCGTCTTGCCCTCTTGCTCATGCGATATGAGCCAAAGCCTGGGATATGGCAACGCTTAAAGCGTAACACATACCTTTATTTGTTTTTTTTTTTTTAAATTTTATTTTTTTATTTTTTTAAATTATTTTTTTTATTTTATAAGGCTTACCAGCTTGTTTTCGACTTTGGTTGCGACAGCGCGTCGTTTTCGACTTGGTAGCGGAGCTGGCTACACTCTCGTGTGGCTGGCTCTCGCTCTGATTCCAGTAATCCACGGCACAACTTGGTGGACTACTACTACGGTGGAATACCATGTTGCGCCGGCTCTGCGAGGAGCGGAGCCAGTCCGCGATCGAGCTAGCGGGGCAACCCGCGAACTCGAGACGCTCTCTCCTACTTCACTGCGCTACTTCACTCCCGACTTCCACAGATGCCAATCGGCAACTCGATCGAGAACGTGGTCACCCTGCGGGGCTACCCGCAGCGGGGCCACCTGCATCCCGTGCCAGTCAGGCGCCTCACGGCTACTACGCCAGAGCCTGACAAACCACAGCCTAAACCAATCACCGAAGCCGTCACATGCACTGGATTAAGATAACTATCTTCGGCATTCTGTGGGTAATAATGGGATGTGCTGTGGGATACATGCGGCAGGGGATGGACGACACGCGTACTACTGGCCCTTCATGGGACCCTGCCGGTACTACGCCTTTTCGCGAATATGTTCGCGAAGTACATGCATGGTTTAACGTAACGAGCGGCAATATGACACCACCACAACAAGCTGCAGCACTACAACGAGGCCTTCAAGGTCTGGCTCGTCGTATCGCCATGCAGGTCCCCTCCCAGATCATCAATTATGGTGTAACTGTCATTGGACAGCCAACGGATGCAGTAACATATATACTGTACTTACTGAGCACCAAATTTGAAAATCTGGAAGATGAGCGCCAGCTCAACTCTGGCACTGCCCTTATCGACTTTCGCGTCGATAGGGGCGAGCGAATCGACTCAGTGTTAGCTCGATTCGAGATGGCCCGTGACGAGGCTAACTCTGTTGGCTTTGTCATCCCCAACTTTCAGATCCTAACGCTGATTCTCTTCAGAGCGTTAGGCGTTGGCGCGTCACGAGCCCAACACCTGCTTGAGCCCTTTAATAATCAGATGCCCCGAACACAAGCAGACTATGACAGGCTGCTGACCAGGATGAGGAACTACGGACATGTTGCCGAGCGCTCTCCTGGCAACATAGCGGGTATCTTCACAGGGCACCACTCACATGCAGGTGTCTACGCCACGACTGCGGGGTCACCCGCTGGTCCTGGCGAGCCAAATCCTTGGGCTGACCCTGCCGATATGCCCAACGAGGCCACTGCCCTTTTAGGACAGACTGGCCAGGCATCGGCAGAGGCAGCTGAGGCGAACGCCTGGTCGAACTACTCGCCAGGCGCCGCCTACACTGCAAGCCCGCCCTCGGGCACAACCCTCTGGGGCCAAGCGGAGTCATCCGCTCAAGGGTCTCAGCCACCCTCACCGTTTGAATCTGGCACTGACACAGACACCTCATCTGACGATGAGCACAAGGGCATAGTCTCTGCTGGTAATGACTATCCAGCGGATGACACTCACCTTTCTGAACAACAAAGAGCGGAAGCCGCTTTTATGGCCTATCGCAAATCAAAACGCCGTTGGAGGCGCTTTATGAATAAACCAGTCAGAAAAGTGAGACGTGCAGTACGCCGACATTTCAAACGATATGGAAAGGGTCGTGGCAAAGGGGGTCGCAGACGCCGTATGCATGGTAGGGGTATCACTGCTTTCCGCACGTCCTTAACTGATATAGCCTTTGAAGAAGTTCTTATCGGAGGCAAAGGTCGGGGTCACAGGCGGACCTCCGGTAAGGGAAAAGGGCGGAGGGGCAACCCTAGGGACGCTTCTGGCAATACTATGAAGTGTCATACATGCGGTAGCACAGAGCATTTGCGCGATCACTGCCCGAAGGGGAAAGGAAAGGGATCCGTACATTTGGCTCAAAATTCTTTTATGGATGACATAGATTACATTGACTACGAGTTTTACGTCAATCCAGAAGCGGCTCCCGCTGCGGGCTCCTCCACGTATTACGTGATGGCCCGCTACGCTGAAGCAACCGTAGCCCTGGAAGACTACGCAGTGACCCTCTTCGACGAGTTCCACGGCTGGGACGAGGTCGACGAGGTCGCGTTCAATGCTTGGTTCGGTCTTCCAGCGGGGCACCCGCCGGCGACGAGGTCTCCGAAGCTGAGACCGTCCCGGCGACCGAGGAAGAGCTCACCGCCGCGCTGGCACCGCAGGTGATTGGCATGCCGTTGCTGCCAGACCTTTCGCGAGCTGGTTCGGAGGCGGGAGACGCTGATGACGAAATGCGGGGCCATCCCGCGTATTCTGACTCTGAAGAGGCCGAAGAGGACTATAAGGACATGCTCCAAGAGCAGGTCGCCGAAGCAATCCAGCTCCTGAGTGCGCCAGCACATCAGCAGATAACCATGAACGACCTGCTGTCGCGCCCAGGGGCCGCAAGGCTGCGTCCATACCTGGATTCGGACATGTCGGCACCTCAGATGCTGACAGCACTCCAGGCTCTAGCGGGGTCACCCGCCGAAGTGACGCCAGCCGCAACAGCGGGGCCACCCGATTGGTCTATGGATGTATTTATGCAAGGTTGTGATCAAATAGACCTTAACGACCTCACGATGGAGCAGTTAAACGACATCGGGTACTTCCGAAGCCCGTATCAACACGTGTTCATGGTCCAGGACAGCTCAGAGGACTCGGAGGACATGCGCTACGCCAAGAGGGACAGACGACCGTCGCCTCCCCGAGACTCAGAGCATGACGATCAAAGGCCAATGGAACGCGGTAGTGCGTCAGCGGGGCCAGCCCGCAGGAGGGGCCGTTCAGCTCCCAGACGCCCTACACATGATGCATCGGGCTATCCATACAGTACTGAGCACTCCGTTGGAGTATCCGCTCAGCATGTGCCGGATTGGTACATCAACTGGTACCCCGGCTATTCGATGGACGTGATCCGCCTCTGGTATTCTAAGGAGTACTGCACCAAAAGGGACGAAACTGGCGTGATAATACGTACCAAGGGTGGCAAGACCAAAACGCCAGAGGCTTGGGACAAAAGGGCTAAGAAACAGGAGATCATCAACGATCGCAAGACATACAGGAAACAAGTATGTCAACGCGAGCCCTTCAAAGGTCACATGCGCAGTTGTCCGATGGGCCGCCCCTCCAGGAGTCCTCATCACGGTGAGACCCCGTGGAATTGGTCTCATGGAGACGACGCTGGCAACGTCCATGATCCTAACAAGGAGGTCCCTGGAGGAGGAAAGCGCATCACCGAAGCCGATCGCGTCCCTATGACCGAAGAGGTGGCCAACATCGTCAGGGAAAATTGGGTACAGCTTCCCAATGACCATCGCCTCAAAGAATGGAACCGCCGATTCCATAAAGAGGCGGGGTCACCCGCAGGATCCAGTAAAGAGGCGGGGTCACCCGCAGGATCCAGTAAAGAGGCGGGGTCACCCGCAGGATCCAGCAAAGAAGCGGGGTCACCCGCAGACGCGGCGCCAGCCGCTGGGTCCGCGGACGACGATTGGATAGCTGTTGCATCTGCTGCTGGGTCCGCCGCCGGCACTGACCACACCGATCTGAATGAAGAATGGGCGGCGGAAGACGGCTCAGAGAATCCATTCCCTGATGGATGCGCCTGCTGGTTTAATACAGATTTTTTTCTATTTTTTTTCTATCTTTTTTGTTTTTTTTTTTTATTTTTTTTTTTTTTCTTTTTGTTCTTTTTTTTTTTCTTTGTTCTTCTTTTTTTTTTTTTTTTCTTTTTTTTTTTTTTTTTTTTTCTTCTTTTTTTTTTTTTTTTTTTTTCTTATTTTTTTTTTCTTTATTTTTTTTTTTTGTTTTTTCTTCGGCGCAGAAGTGGTTTTGCACGAGGGTAATTCACCGCCATGAAAATGGCAAGTACAAACTGGCCATAAAAGGTACTGCCGACATCGACCAGATGAGGCAGGTCATCCATGATCATGGCCAGCCAGAAGGCCCTCCTAGAGACCCTCCTGGTCCACAACCGGGCAAGGGCAGCAGACCACCTCCAAGACCTGAAGCCGACTCCTCGTCTTCACCGACTCCTGCGAAAAGGCACCCGTCCAAGAGCCCCGAAGGCACACAGGGGCGGGCGAAGGCCAGAGAGATCGCCAAGACGGACGACCCTGAGCCGGTAGATCCTCCCGGTCTGTCCGTGACGGAGAGGAGGAAGGCTTTTGCTGGACCATCGACCCCGATGCCACCGGCTGCCCAAGGCGATGTC